ACACCGGCCCACTGTCCCCACGTGCCGCTCGTACCAGAGAAGACAAAGCATTCCCTCTATACTCCGAACCACAGGAATATTTAAGTCTTCTCTTCACTACATATTCGAAACAAACAACACAACGAGCAAATCGCATTTGCCTGACCAGCCTGTCGTGAATATAGAGAAAATCACAAAGAAAGGGCAAGTAGAAAACTAGGTAAAAACATTTCAAATGCCGAATTTTACAAACCTAAATTTTTCGTTACAGCTAAACGTTTCTCAAGCGAATCTGCCACGTAACCGTCTTTGCTGAACTCGCTTTTCCAGCGACCGTGCCTCTCGGTCGTCGACTCCGTTATTAGCGGCTGTCGTAGCCCCTACCGCTCGAAGCGAATGCAAACCTAACTTAGCTTCACCGGAGACCAACCTCAATCTTTTGAGCATTGCCTCCTTAGCTCCTGTGTAGCTGAGTGTTTTGTTTTTGTTAATAAGCTTGCATGTTTTCCCGGAGCGATTAACTTGATTCGCCGAATAACTTCACGTCGGAACAACGTAAGCTCCTAAGCTCGTTAAAACGTAAAAATCCAGAGAAACAAATTAAAAGCATTGACAAATGTCGTACTATCAACAAGTCGTTTGATTTAGAATATGTCCCGCACAAATTAATCAGCATGTCACTGGTAACCGGTTCCTTCTTACATGTCGGCTTCCTGGCTACACGTTTGGATGTTTCCACCATGCTCCGAATGAATGAATTATATAGTTGTAGGGTCCGCGTGACCGTTGATATTGTGCGCCCATTTGATGGCATACGTCGCTGATGACACTTTAGAAAATGTGGATCCGTTATCTAACAAATAGTTCAAATACATCGCTACGTGAATCGGTGATGCAGGAAGGGCTGAAAAACCATGAGGCGAAATAAGCTGCTCCCACCATCTGAACGCGCCATAATACTTTGATAGTGTGCTTATACTCCTACTCTGTAACAGCCTACCAGCCATACCCTCCGCCATCTGGTGCAGAGAGGAACCTTCCGCGATGCCCAAGGCCTCCAATGCGTCGTCTATCGACTTCTTCAATCCTATGCCTGTTAACAAAAGAAAACAAACGTATAAGCGTAACGTATACGTGAACCGGAAACCACTGTCATAAAATACTATCCTAAAGGCAACCATGTCAAAACCCAAAACACTCGTTCCGAAACACCCGTTTTTGCCCCTCCCCCTTGAGGTGACCTCCGTGTTTGAAAGCAGACGATAACCTGCGATAAAACCCTCAAACGCCCCTTCGCTGCATAATATTGGCCAGTATGCCGCGCTCTCCCATAGCGGGACAATCAGAGTCCCGTGGGCCCCCTCGCATTTCATTTTAGATATAACCTGACAAATGAGCCTTGGGGGTGGCACTAACCAGTTGTTTACCCCCTGCCATGTAACTGTGGACGAATCCATGGCCTCGGTGCCCACGCACCACCACCTGGAATTAAAACGTATGCACGTGCTATTGTAATCCGTAGCAAAACGATCAACTAGGTGTGGCCCCCAGCATGCCTCGAATAAATCAAACACCCATGCCTGTACTGACCAGTCGTCACAATCCTTACACCTGCTTAAATAATCTGCAGTTTCGTTTCTTTCCCTAGGTAGCCATTGCGGAGTGATGTCTATGCTATTTTCGTGACACACGTCATTTACTTCGCGTGCTATAACTTGTAAATCTGATTTTCTACTCCCTGTTTTCACTATGGAACAAACGCTGTTGTTATCAGTCAATAACTTAACATGCTTACCTCTGATCGAGTCTACCTTGTCAAAGATTACTCTTTTCATAGCCTCCAACTCCCTCCAAGTTGAGCTATATGCTTTTTGTCTTTCGTTATACGTGTCTATTGATACGCAGCTGTCCATGTGGCACAAATCCCCTACTGAGGGGAGACTTACCTCTTTACCCTATGAGAGTGTCAAAGCTACCTCGATGTCGCTGACTGCGTGACCACCACGAAACACCCCTCCATGAGGGATGGAAATTATACTACCTCCGTGAGGTGGTCCCTTTGTTCGGAACACTCTTTCAATGTACCTGACCCCCTGAGGGTCGACCCATACCAGGGGAACCAAACAACTGGCCACCCAAAAGCCCCCTGACACCCACGGTGCTGAGCCCTTGACCTCCACGAGGTCGCCCCTCGCTCGGGGGACTGCGAAACTGAACTTCCGTAAGCTGACCTGCGCCGGGTATAGCAAACTGCTGGCCTCCTGAAGGCCGCCTAGCTCCTGAGATGATAAACTATCGACCCCCGAGTCGACCAGGGTACTATCATCAAGATCTCCTCCAGGTCGCCCCTCATAGGGATTACTACTGTAGAATTTACGTGTATCTGCAATCCTACCTGTGTCGTCCACCAAGGGGGACACGACTACTGTAACAAGCGCCACGCCTTCATGCGAAATGTCTTTGACGTCTTTGTCAACATGGTCCGTGTCTAACGGTAAACGTTCCCACGTGCTACATACCTGTGTGTTGCGTACGACATCACATTGGACTGGTCTATCTACATGCTGTAGGTAGCCCCCGTATCCTTCTCCGGACGCGTCGGTGCAAACCACGACGTCACATTGTTTCGCCATGTGTTCTTTTAACTGAGAGCCATTATTGTTAAAAATTTGTAAGTTAAACAACCAAAACTCAATTTCATCTAAGGCCCTGGGTGTGAGCATAACACACGCATTCCAACTAGCTCTGGCCGACACACACCTGTATAGCTCGCGCGTGCGAAGTCGCGCTAGTGGACCGACCACGCCCTGCATTGATATGATTCGACCAACGACGCCTGCCACGTGCCTAGCTGCGTAAATAAGCCTACCCCTCTGGGTTACCTGTGTCATAGTGCCTGACAAACAAAACAAAAGCCTGTCAATCCGCTCCGACGTGATTCTAACCACGCCCTCCTCCATCTCCCACGTGAATTCTAACCACGTGGTGAACTGTGACGCCACCCACTGGCATTTGTTTTCGGCTATCACGAAACCGTAATCTGTCAGTTCCTGCCTGACGTACCTGCTAGCGTCGTTGGCTCCGCCCTCTGTCTGATGACCTCATATACCGTCGTCCAGGTACATGGCCAACCTATGGCCTGACGCGCGAATGGATTTGACCACTTGTCGTAAAACTTTGGTAAATACGTAACCCGTCGTCGCTATACCGAAAGGGAGAACATTATAGACGAATGTTAGCGTTTTGCCATCGATTGCGTACTCGAAACCAAAAAAAAGTGCGATGTTCGGGGAAAATCTCAATATGGTGATATGCCGATTTGAGATCAAACGTAAACAGATAATCGCCTGTTTGAAGCATTTCCCTAGCTACTCCAGCATCATCGTATTTGAATCTGAATTTATGCAAGAACAGGTTAATGTGCCTACAATCCAAGACGAGACGTGGCTTACCGGATCTATTGTACCCTACCGTTAACGTATTTGTGACCCGGGTACCTAACGGGACTTCTGAGACGCAACCAAGTCTTACTACTTTTTTAATCTCTGTCGCGACGAATTCGGGGTTATCTTGTGCCGACTTGTTATTATGCATGTGCGCATCAGGTGGTATCTCCCTAAATGGAATTGTATACCCTCTGTCGATGATTGACAGTACCGTCGGACGCTATGTGGTTTAGTATATATTCGTCCACAGTTTTCCAACCGCCCTCCGAACTGTCGGCTAACTTTACAAGCTTATTGCGATAGTCTATCATAGCCATACCTTCCTCGATATAAACTCTGGTGGCATCACCGTCCGTAGTCGCGGTGTTAGCAGCCTCCGCTATTTTAGCCCGCAATTTCCCGTTGAACTTATGCTGTTCCTCACAACTCCTGCTCTTGAACTTGTAGGTGTCCGTGTTTTGGATAGTTTGCTGTATTTTTTCGGAATTATCGTTCATCTTCTTTTCAAAGGAATTCAATTTTAAAGAAATTAAATTGTCCAAGTGAGATAGCATCTCGTTTTGTGAGGTACTAAACGCATCATGTAATTGAGCTGAAACCTGCGCAGACACCTGAGTACGAAGATCTTTCTCCATTTTGTGTGTGACCGCACTGGTAGAACGACAGCTAGAGAATGAACTCACCCCGTGTACGCCATGAGTACACCGGTCCACTGGCCGCACGTGCCGCTCGTGCCAGAGAAGACAAATAATTCCCTCTATATTCCGAACCGCGGGAATATTTAATTCTTTGCCCTGTGGGTCGTACATGTAATGATGGATCAATGTTTCGTCACTAGTAACCATCCCCGCAATAAATTCTTCCGCATCCTGAGTGTTTTGCGCGAAAAGTGTATGGGACATAATATAACAGCCCGCGCAGCCTTCTGGTCGTCAGTGAGATTTCGTGACCCATTGCACGGACAGCTTTCTCACTGCTTTCACAACTAGCTGTCTCATAGCTTCATTGTTTGTATCATTACTTCCACAGGCCTACTAGGGCGTGGCTACATCGACCTCGCTTAAATTCCATAACCCGGTATTTAACCTATGTATATGAAGGGACACTGTCACCATAAACATCTTACATTTCGTCAAATATTTCCATACCACATTTCCCTTTTAAATACAGGAACTTACTGACAGCCAAGTATTCAACTTTACAAAAACTTGGCAATGTCTATGTTTGAACACCTGTGTGTGTATTATTAAATTTCTTTAACTTACCTTTGACGATATACAAAAGAATATAGTCATGTACAATATGTGCAAAGCATGCAGTAGTAACGGCTCGATGAATGTGCTAGGCCAGTTACGTGTATATAATTAATGACCCTCGTATTTCTTACGCAGTGTTATCTAATTGCATTACTTTGACCTTTGTGAGCTACATAAATGTTCGATAAGCAACTATCATAATGTCATTCAAGACTCTTTATTTCAATTATTCTGTTTGATCTGTGCTTCTATGGTTTTCAGTCCTGGTCATCGACCTATGTTAGGCACGAACACGAATAGATTGGTTGACACCAACGATATCAACTCCACAAATATACGTAAAGTCAAACTAAATAAGAAGACAAGTGGATACTTGCCAACCTGGAACACGGTAAGTGTAATAACTTATTATTTAGAAATTAAAGTAAAAATGGGATAAGGTTAATGATGAAGTGTGTTTAATAAATACATAGAGTGGTCGGTTGGCGCAGTAGAAAGCGCATTTGCCTTTCACCAAGGCGACCGGGATTCGATTCCCAAATCGGACGTGAAAAGGTATCCAGTCATGCATACCACACCAAAAAAACCCAGTAAAAGAACTTATGCTATTTAACACAAAGCTTTCTTTCCACGACAGAGTTATACCAAGCAAGAGCCAATAAAGCAATTTAGTTCAATAAATAACATTCAGTTGGTAATTACAGAAAAAAATATATGATACAGAATTGTTAACAAAAGCGTTATTTAATTCAATTTCAAATTCTATAAAACAAGCAAAATAAGTATGAACAGAAGGACACTTAAAAAGGAAACGGATGTTCAGAGCGGTAAGCGTCTTCTGCTTCGTCGTCGATATCAGACATGAAAATTTGGTCACTTCCTCAAAGTGAACACCGAGATAATAACAAGAAATACACCGACCTTCGTATCACGAAAGGCAATACAGTGTATCCCGATGAGATCATGATGTCGACCAGAACACTTTGCCATCGGCTTTATCATCATACATCTCTCCAAACCCTGTTTTGTAAGTTTGTCCATCAGCAGTCGACATCTATCACGGAATTATGATAGTCGGACCAATCTATTGAGTACCGAATCAACTGCGACATGTAAACACCGTAAGTAAGGGGAAGCAGCGACGTCAGGAAAGGGACCGGATTTCAAAAATGTGCCCGTTGTCATACAGCTGTTAGTAGTAAGCGGTGCATGTTAGTAGTAAGCGGTGCCTCTTGTAAGAAAGGTACTTGAGCCGAGGCAATCTTCTTTATTTTTCTTGTATTTCATTAATTTTACCTGTGAACATTTTTCAATAAAATTAAAAATAGCTACAGATGTTCATTTATTTTGAGTTCTCCCTTAAAGTATGTTTGTGTGAAAGAAAATTAAATTACTGCTACATTCTTTAATAGTATCTAAGGTTCATAAAAATGTATAACTATGCGTAATTCTTTTCGATCTAGTGCTCTAGAAAACCTTGACCCTTGACTTAATACCTACAGCCTTAACAGATTTCTTTTTTCAAATTAACTTAATATTCCGTCCACAAAATGTAGCATCTTTCATATCTTAATAATAAACGATGTAAATGTCTTGGAATATTTGTTATCGTTGGTGCACATTTCCCGTTCAATAAAATTATTGTAAAAGGTTTCATGAGCTGTTTAATTGGTTTGTTAAGATATTAAGGATGCACAAAAGATGTGTGTAAACTTGATCGTTTGCATCAAAAACGAATAACTCAAAAACACGAAATTAAGAAATACGCAGGGACGTATTAAAGCTGGATGTGGTAAAAACAGCCATGTTCCTTATGTAACAAGGATGGTACTCCTTTAATCCAAATGTATGTTGACGTAAGATGATGTATTTGTTTCAGAACGTGACAATAGTTGCAGTTGTTACAGATCAGGATTCCAGAACAACCTCAGAAAACATAGCAAGTTTCGAACAGCTGTACCATCTAGAGGCAGGTGCCAGCAGCTCTTCCAAATCGGTTTACCCTATAACCTTCCATAACAGAACAACGTAAGCGTAAAACATAATCAAATTACCTCTACATTTTCTCCATCTGTGTTTTGTTTACCAGGTCAACTTTTTCCTCTGATCTCTGTCTACCCGTTTAATTTCATCCCCTGGTCTTTGGCTTACCTGGTCACTTTTACTCAGTTCCTTGATTACCTGGTCACTTTTCTCTCTGACCTTGGATTACCTGGTCACTTTTACTCAGTTCCTTGATTACCTGGTCACTTTTCTCTCTGTTTTTGATTACCTGGACACTTTTCCCTCTATTCTTGGATTACCTGGTCACTTATCTCTCTGTTTTTTATTACCTGGTCAGTTTTTCCCTATGCTCTGTGTTTACTCGGTCAATTTCCTTCTGTGTTCTTTAATTACTCGGTCAATGTACTTCTGTGTTCTTTGTTTACCGGGTCAATGTCCTTCTGTGTTCTTTGTTTACCGGGTCAATTTCCTTCTGTGTTCTTTAATTACTCGGTCAATGTACTTCTGTGTTCTTTGTTTACTCGGTCAATGTCCTTCTGTGTTCTTTGTTTACCGGGTCAATGTACTTCTGTGTTCTTTGTTTACCGGGTCAATGTCCTTCTGTGGTCTTTGTTTACTCGGTCAATGTCCTTCTGTGGTCTTTGTTTACCGGGTCAATGTCCTTCTGTGTTCTTTGTTTACTCGGTCAATGTACTTCTGTGTTCTTTGTTTACTCGGTCATTGTCCTTCTGTGTTCTTTGTTTACCTGGTCAATGTCCTTCTGTGGTCTTTGTTTACCGGGTCAATGCCCTTCTGTGTTCTTTGTTTACCGTGTCAATTTCCTTCTGTATTTTTTTGTTTACTCGGTCAATGTACTTCTGTGGTCTTTGTTCACCCGGTCATTGTACTTCTGTGTTCTTTGTTTACCGGGTCCATGTCCTTCTGTGTTCTTTGTTTACTCGGTCATTGTCCTTCTGTGTTCTTTGTTTATCGGGTCAATGTCCTTCTGTGTTCTATGTTTACCGGGTCAATGTCCTTCTGAGTTCTTTGTTTACCGGGTCAATGTCATTCTGTGGTCTTTGTTTACTCGGTCAATGTCCTTCTGTGGTCTTTGTTTACCGGGTCAATGCCCTTCTGTGTTCTTTGTTTACCGTGTCAATTTCCTTCTGTATTTTTTTGTTTACCGGGTCAATGTCCTTCTGTATTCTTTGTTTACCGGGTCAATGTCCTTCAGTGTTCTTTGTTTACCGGGTCAATTTCCTTCTGTGTTCTTTTTTTACTCGGTCAATGTCCTTCTGTGGTCTTTGTTTACCGGTTCAATGTCCTTCTGTGTTCTTTGCTTACCGGGTCAATTTCCTTCTGTGTTCTTTAATTACTCGGTCAATGTACTTCTGTGGTCTTTGTTCTCCCGGTCATTGTACTTCTGTGTTCTTTGTTTACCGGGTCCATGTCCTTCTGTGTTCTTTGTTTATCGGGTCAATGTCCTTCTGTGTTCTATGTTTACCGGGTCAATGTCCTTCAGTGTTCTTTGTTTACCGGGTCAATTTCCTTCTGTATTTTTTTGTTTACTCGGTCAATGTACTTCTGTGGTCTTTGTTCACCCGGTCATTGTACTTCTGTGTTCTTTGTTTACTCGGTCAATTTCCTTCTGTGTTCTTTGTTTACTCGGTCAATGTCCTTCTGTGTTCTTTGTTTACCGGGTCAATGTCCTTTTCTGATCTAGGATTACCTGGTCACTTTTCTTTCTGTTTTTGATTACCTGGTCGGTTTTTGTTCTCTGCTTTTTGTTCATCCGGTCAATGTACTTCTGTGGACTTTGTTTACCGGGTCAATGTTCTTTTCTGTTCTTTGATTACCGGGTCAGTAATTCCCTCTGTTTTCCCTCCGAGGTTTATTTTCCAGGTCATTTTCTACCTTTAATTATTTTTACCAAGTCAATTTCCCCCTCTAGCCTTTGTTTGCCTGGTTAATTTCTCTTTTTTTTATTCCTCTGTTCTCTGTCTTCCCGTTCAATTTTTCCAGATGCGTTTTGCTTACTAAGTCTACCCCCCCCCCCCCTTTG